AATCCCATATACCTAGGCAGTAATTCCCTCAGTCTGCAAGGTGACCAGCCTTGGCGGATCCAGGACCAGGTACAATTTGGGTTCTCCCACTTGCAACTGTTCCTCTATACTCCTTTCTGTGGATGAAGATGAGCATTTTACCACATAAGCTGATAAGGCAGATGTCCAGCTGCAGTAAATCAGTATAACTCCACTGTCATGAAGGAAGGTATACTGATATACAGTATACAGGCAAAATTGTGTGGCATGCTTCAAATCAACCCATCCTAAAAAGGCACAGAAACTATCCTGAAGTTTCAGATGTGTCTTGCAGGTTTGGGTGCACAAATAATCAGGATTCGGTAATACAACTCGCAGTACTGATTTCATGTGGCCATGTTCTATTAAACAAAGCCCACAAGACAAAAATGATGCCTTTTGGTCCAACGACCTCATCAACCCAGAAGATAAACAATCAGCAAACTTAATATTAAATGTCCTGGAAGTGCACCGTTGGATAATTATGTTGTAAGAGTACCTGTTTTGTCATGAGATCTGCTCCCTGCTATGTACTCAGTCCTTGTTCATTTTTAGAGGCTAAAACCGAATTTACAGTATAGTTGAGTTAGCTGATACACTAAAGGGTATGTTGGATTATATAATTTTTATTTTGCGTACCAACAAGAGAACTGCTTGCCAAATTCCCAGAGTAATCAGCTATAAAACCATTAAAGGCAAAAAGCATACATGTCACACAACATAACCCAAGGAAAGTGGGGTTTGCTGTTATCACTGATGCTGTGATGTGACCTGCATGATCTTTAGTCCTAAGTAATGATGCACAGCACTAAAATACACAAAACTTGTGTCACAGTCTGTTAATTTCCAACAGTGATCTTCAAACAAGAGGCTTTTATTTGTAATCTGAAGACTCCTGAGCTAGAAATCAAGGACTAAATTACACAATTTCGGTGGCATCTTGGACAAATTTGTACTTTTAATATATCATTTATTCTGTACTGTAAAGCCATATGCAAATATTAAGTAATTTAATACTATTAATGTCCCCAAAAGGACTAAGGTGTTTTTCACATACCTAATTACAACTGAGTAATACAAATGTTCTTCCTATACATACCCACATTATAGTATTGCAGTTCTCCACTAAAGGTTTTCACAGAAAGGTATCTTGTCCCTTTACTTTTTTTTTCCACTTTTTTTTTTTTTTTTTAATCTAGATCTGTGTGGACTTTATAATATGATTAGATTGCCGACCAACTCCTGGGTATCATGGTGCTGAGCATGACACAGTTTGAGTCCTAGCACACCACTTAATACTATAAATGTATTCCAAATCTGAAAGTGACAATTGCTGAACAGACATATTTTCAAGAACTTCATGGGAGTTAGTTCATCTTATTTAGTCAAAATGCTGAAAACAGATCCAGTTCCCCAACTTCTTGTAAAATATACCTCCACTTGCACTGAGTTCTTCAACACTGTCCCCTGTCCTCTGGAAATGGCATTTTCCATTTGCTTCACCATCAGCTTAGCTTTGTGTCCAAAAGCGTTGCCTCAAAGAAAGAAGCACCCTGCCTCTGTGCTTCACAGCCCTAAATCAAATCCTTACTTAAAGAGAGCAGAAAATCCATTTCTCCAGCTCAACGTTTTGTTTCACTTGTAATGACCGGCCAGAAAAGTCAAGCTGCATCTAAATCTAAACCCAAGATTTCTTGTTCACACACGACTGGTGGCATCAGAAACTTCTCAGGCATTGATAATTCTAATTTTTATTAAGCAGGTTCTTTTTCTTGAGTTAGATCTCTAAACAACAGCCACAGTAGCATACAACATCATATAAGATGCCTGAGGAAATGGCTTATTCCCAATACGAGAAGTGAAAACAGGTGTTGCGTTGTGTTCTACCACCATTAAGAGAAACAAATTTTTTTTAATTCAAAAGCTGCTGTAAATATCTGTGACATGTATTACAGAACCCAAATGCTTTCCTAGATGTAGAATGTCATCCATTTCCCATGTTATTCTGTGGAAGTCATTTGAGTGCTAGAAATGAGTAACCACCATGCAACTTTACCTTCAGTGAAGTATAAATACTGTGCTATTACGTTCCTTATAGCTCCATCTACCAGAAGCAATCTCTTCATAACAGGCCACTGAGGTACATCCTGAAGTACAGACTGCATTCTCTCCAGATGCAGGATTCTGCAATCAAAAAAGGTAGAGCACAGAAACATTGTGTACTATAAACAAAAGGTAATGTTGCTGAAAAATTATGGGATTTTTTTGCTGCACAGTCACTAAATCATCTACTTTGCAGTTTCTTACAACAGCAGCAGCACAGCAGTTTCCTTTTATAAAAAAAAAAAAAGAACCAAATTCCAAAGTGCACTACTAAATTATTGAACAATTTGACTGCAGTCTCTCTCTTAACAGTAAATAATGGATTTTACAAAAAACTTGTCACACTACGGAAACAACAGCAAAAACAAAACAGAAGAACCCCTCCAACTCTCAGCACTCACTAATGAGTCTCCCAGGTGAGAAGTACAACTTGTTTTCATGGACAAGTCTACTTCTTTCAGACTAATTTACCCGAAGGCCAAAAGCATTAATGTTCAGGAAGATTTACACATAAAACCATTTCCCTTCCTCCCCTTTGCAGAAAAAAAAAATAAATAAAAAAAAAAGGGAGAAGTTTCCCATGAAAGACTTCATTTTCTATTAAGCTATTTAGTGTACTTAAAAAATTCTTCTGAACACTCAAAGGTGGGAAAAGGAGGTAGTGGCTGCTATTCCATCAGAGACACTTAGGTTAAGCACAGGAGTTATACGTCTGTTTATAGTCCCACATCAGTTCATTTACTTAGGAAACAGTTTTTTCATTTTTTTGTGTCCCTGCTCAAACAGATTTGTTTGGAAATGGAAAGAGGCCTGTGTCAAGTTTATAAGTTAATTAAAACAGCAACAAATCCAGAAACAAAGACATTGACTGATCACTTCCCACTTAGGGGTGTGCTGCATTAGAGCACTTCGTCTCTTTCAGATTTATCTTCAGATGCTGATTTGTATAGCACGGATTGTACCTCCTCCAATGAAGGACAGTTTTTGATATGAACAAGTAGAGTTATGACAAGCAATGCCAGATTGAGGCCAACATTATAACTCTCAGAAACAACATAAGTCATCCAATGTGCAGTTAGAAGGAAGTATCAGTTCCTGTGTTCTGCCATAGACCTTTCATGAGGCTCTGCCAACTCTGATAAACATTAACTCCCTGTATCTACAACTTTTAAGTCCTGTGTAGAACCTTCCAGATCATTTATAACAAGTCCTTTTACTTTTTTTAAATAGATAGGGCAACAGAGTTCCTAAACCACTTTATTTTGCATAAATCACCCAGAACAATTATCTTGATTTTATTTTAAAATATATGCTGTGAATCAGAATACCTGAAATTAAAACACAGTCAATCTTTACAAGCTTGCAGTTGCACTTGTCCTAAAATGGGAATTGAAGTCATTCCCAAAGTTGCAACAAAATATATTTCTGCTAGATTAGTGACCAACTGCTAAAAGAATAACTCTACTGCACAGGAGATTTGGCCTGCTTCAACAAAACAAATCATTCTGCATAAGTACAGAACTTATAGTCATATGTTCATACAAACTGCATTAACTGATAAGCCAAACGGGGAACTTGAAAGTTCAAAAACATTAAAAGAAGTCTTAGCCTCAGAGTGCCCTGGATAAGATTGGAAACTACATATATATATAAAACCATAGCATTACATCGTCATTCTGTTCTCTGTAGTAGGCTCCTGTTCTAAGATCTCCTGCAAAAGCTAACATGACTGACTGCTACAACAAAAATCCAAAACATTTCAGATGCACTGGACTTGCTGTACATGAGCAGATTGATCCTATAGCATACATCCATGAGAAGCACTACCCAGCAACTATTTGTGGGAATTAGATTTTGTTTGCAGAACATGATAAAGAATTCAGGTCCTAGTTCAAAATGCTTAATTATACACAGCTGCTGATTCCTATGAGTCCTGCTCTTGTGCTCAGGCCCTCTGCTGAACCTGCAAGTAGGTATACTCTGAATCACAGATTTCTTCTCTGAAAATTTATTGTTCAGAATGTGTATGCATCACCACAATGATTTGACTGTATACGAGGTTTTGAATTACAGAATAAAAAATAAAAACACAAAACAAAAATCAGAAAGCAATTAAATGTAAGATAATTAGTCAAGCTGATCTGAACTTCTTAAGACAAGTTGCAGAAAAATAACTTACAGATCATGAGATGCAGTATATCCTTCTGAAAAATAGGCATCTGATTTCTCATTCCATTGCTGAATCACGGTATTTATGTCTGAAAAAGATTTCCTGGCTTCCCTGTCATCTAGAAACTGAGACATCAAATCAGCTATGATTCTTTCAAGTTCCAGAAGGAGTCTCTGAGAGAGGCTGCTGCTGAGCCATTGCTCAAATACCTAGCAGATTGAACGCAAAACAGAACACACCTTGTTAGGGAATCAAAGCTTTCTTATTTAGACAAGATAAAGAATTTGTATGTCTTTAAAAAAATACAATTAACAATTATGGTAAAATTTCTCCATAACGATGTGTCTAGACTCTGAAATGACTGGCCTCAAAGGCTGATTTTCAGTGCAGCTTGTACTGACCTCCAAGTTGGCAATATAACATGCTACATCATACAGGGAACTAATACCCTATGCTGTGCTGTCCTTGCCCAAAGACCCAGGAATGGCAAAAAGATGGCCTGAGACTGAAACCAACAAAAAAGCAAACCTTCGCAGTCAATTACTCAGGCTTGCTTTCCCTTACAGGACTTCTACCTGCACTACCAACACGATGGAAGGCAGTAGCCTCAACATTTTTGGGGTTCCATTACACAAAGAGATGAAGAAGGAGCCTGCACACTCCCATCGTGTAGCCCAGAATAAGGCATGCCAAGGCACGGCCAAACCTCCTGACTGCTATCCTTTCCTCCACCATTACATTTTTTTAATGCCAAGTGGTTATAACAGATTTTTACTATCAGAGATGTCCTGTTCACCAAGGGAATTCCCAGTGGCCAGCAGCTTGCAGTACTTCAAGTTGCCATCACAAGGACGTCATCACTTATGAAGAATTTTTAAATCATGGATGAAATTATCACTGCATTTTCCTAAGGCTACAATAGGAATTAGTGAATTAGTTTTGGCAATCACATTAAATTATTACATCCAGTCATCATACACCAGTGAAACCTTTATCAAGAGAGAAATCAAAGGTTACATATTTGAGGAAATACAGAATAAAGCTCTACACACTTTCTTTAGATGATACTGCAAATATTTCCAGAGCAGCTTGATATACAGATGATTTGTTTTTAATGGGGGGGGGAAACCCAAAACATATTTCAGTGGAAAAACAAACACCAGCATTAAGGCAGCTAGGTAAGTGTTTTCCTTAGGAAACATCTGAACGGTTTATCCTTTTCTCTATGCAATGTCACATATGTCATTGTAGAGACTGCATGCCAAGTTGGTATGCCAGAGCAGAATTTTAAGATCATAGAATCATAGAATAGTTTAGGTTGGAAAGGACCTTGAAGATCATTGAGTTCCAACCCCCTGCCATAGACAGGGATACCGCCTACTAGACCCCACCTTCACAGTGAAAAATTTCTTCCTAATATCTAATCTAAGTCTAACCTCTTCCAGTCTGAAGCCATTTCCCCTCGTCCTATCGCTACATGCCCTAGTAAAAAGTCCTTCCCCAGCTCTCCTGTAGGCCCCCTTTAGCTACTGGAAGGCCGCAATAAGATCTCCACAGAGCCTTCTCTTCTCCAGGCTGAACAGCCCCAACTCTCTCAGCCTGTCCTCATAGGAGAGGTGCTCCAGCCCTCAGATGATCCTCGTGGCTCTCCTCTCGACACGCTCCAGCAGGTCCATGTCTTTCTTATGGTGAGGACTCCAGAGCTGAATGCAGTACTCCAGGTGGGGTCTCATGAGAGTGGAGTAGAGTGGCAGAATCACCTCCCTTGACCTGCTGGCCACACTTCTTTTGATGCAGCCCAGGATATGGTTGGCCTTCTGGGCTGTGAGCACACATTGCTGGCTCATGTTGAGCTTCTCATCAATCAGCACACCCAGGTCCTTCTCCTCAGGGCTGCTCTCCAGCCATTCCCCGCTGAGCCTGCATTTGTGCTTGGCATTGCCCCGACCCAGATGTAGGACCTTGCACTTGGCCTTGTTGAACTGCATGAGGCTGGCGTGTGCCCACCTCTCCAGCCTGCCCAGGTCCCTCTGGATGGCATCCCTCCCCTCCAGCATGTCTACCTCACCAAACAGCTTGGTATCATCGGCAAATTTGCTGAGGGTGCACATGACCCCACTGTCCATGTCGCCGACAAAGATGTTGAACAGTACAGGTCCCAGTACTGACCCCTAGGAACGCCACTCGTGACTGGTCTCCACTTGGACATCGAGCCGTTGACCACAACTCTTTGAGTGTGACTGTCCAGCCAGTTCTTTATCCACCGAGTGGTCCATTTGTCAAATCCATGTCTCTTCAATTTAGAGACCAGGATATTGTGTGGGACAGTGTCAAACGCTTTGCACAAGTCCAGGTAGATGACATCAGTTGATCTTCCCTTGTCCACTGCTGCTGTCCAATGCCCCTTCGTAAAAGGCCACCAAATTTGTCGGGCATGAGTTGCCCTTGGTGGAGCCATGCTGGCTGTCACCAATCACCTCCTTGTTTTCTATGTGCCTCAGCAGAGTTTCCAGGAGGATCTGCTCCATGAACTTGCCAGGCACAGATGCTATACTGGAGATTTATTCGGATCCCTGTCAACATGCTTCAGCCACCGTTGCCAGAGGTAGCGGAGAGGAATTAAAAATAAATGAATTATATGGTATATCAGTGGAGGCCTGCAGTCTGCTTTCAGTCTTGCCCAAAATTCAGGCTCAGGTGGTACAGTAAATACCTCTTCCTTCTGTCAGGCCTCTGCAGTGCAGTATATTTCACTATATTCCCTATTAGATTTCAAATCTGTATTTAAATTAATGAGAAAATCTGATTAAGGGGACACATGGTGACAGATTATACTTCTACTGTAACGATTCTTTATAAGGGTTACTTTGTCTTATTAGCAAGACAAAAAAAAGTTCATGACAATAACGTTTAATAGCTAACTTGGATCTCTTCACTGAGTTACTGTTGACAGCCTACATGCAAAAAATTAGGAATTTGATCTATTAACTTATTAAAGTGTACCTGTGCATAGAGCCTGAGCTTGCTGATGGCATGAACCAGATACACCTTGGCCTCATGCCATGCAGAAATACAGCCATCTTCATTATTCTCTTTGTTTGGTTCATCTTCCGGCACACTGGACAGAGCAGAGCACACAAACTGCTCCAGTGTCTCTCCTGTGGGAACCTGGCAGGGACATAAGAAATCGATGAGCATCTCAAGAGAGCTGCTGAGTGTTATCTCCTCTATCAACTTACTTATCTGGTGACAAAAGAATACCACATAGTATCCTTCGATGAGAACAAAGCCCATTTAATCCAGCCTCATATTCTGGGGAACATACTTCAAAGTACTCCATGTGCAGAGTGGTATATAAAATACCAGTGGCTCCATTAGGGTTCTCATATGCCAGGCAGAATGATGATACTTGTATATGCACGGAAATTTCACCTTGTAGCTACACCAGTGTTGCTACTTCTACAGTCATTTTCAGGCTGATGCTGAACTAACTTGACAATGATACAGTACACCTACACTAGAATTTTGCACAAGAATAACTGTACCAAAGCATCTTCACAAGTATAACAATTACTGATGTAAATAGCATTCAGTACAATGGTACATCGCAAACAATGACTACATGCAGCAGACTAGTTTTAAGTTGAAGTTGGCAGGTTTCAGCAGTGTGGACAAGAGGCCAGAATTTTTTCCTCATAGACTGACTTCTAAATTGTGTTGAAAGATTTATTATTCCCAATCATGAAAATGTTATTAAAGCGTACAAAAGTAATTTACCACGTTTTAATTCTCCCTGTGAATGTCTTTCTGAGATACTTTATATCCTAACTCCTTTCAACTGTCACTAGAAAGTTTATTTAAAGTTTTGCAGATGTTTTGACACCAAACAACCTGGGGCATTACATACAGAATTGACATGCTCAGAACAGACATTGTCCAGGCTATCATATTTCTCTTCATATTTTTTGAGGGTCTTCAATGCCCTAACACAAACACACAATATCAAGATATTAGTTTAATCTATAAATGGCTAGCAAGTGAATCACCTGGGATTACACAGCCAACCATAGCTAACAGGCTGCAGCCAAATTCAGTTCAGTTGATCAAATTGGCCATCACTGTTATATCATTAAAAGGCCATTCAAAAGTCAAGTTTCTTTATAATTTACACCTTTGTGCAAAACAGCTGTTTTCGTAATGAGCTCTTCTGAAGTACAACTCTAGACTGTACCTGGCAAAGAGCTAACAGATTTCAGATAAATACCAGCATATTCTATTCAAAAACTGGAGACTTTAGTAGAAATTCAAAAGATGTTTCAAGTTTTCTGCAGTTCACACCAGACCAACAGATCGCTTTGGTTTAGAAGAAAGGTTAGAAAGCCCTCTCTGAGAAAAGGTATTTTCTTCAAAATTTGACACATTGCTGGTGTATTTGAACAGCCCCACTGAGACAACTCATTAATCAAGTATATTCATATCAAGACTGCAAAACTGGGAAGGACTCTTGATGTGCTTAATTTACGCACAGAAGAGAGGCATTCTTTGTCCAGCAATCCAGGTGAAAAAATGCTACCTGCCAAATTAACCCAGGCAGCTTCAAATCTAGGATCTAGTTTAAAAGCTTAGTGGAGCAAACCCCAGAACTCTCTACAGGACTGGATAATAAACTCAGGACTTTGCCATATCCAGTTGTGACTTCAAAGAAGCATAAATTCATTAATGTACACAACTAGACCTATCAGCATCTTCATGTGCACAAATTCCAGCTAAAGCTAAATACATTTGTTTCAATGGGAATGAAGCCAGGGTATTTAGCCATCTTGTAGCTGCTTCACAAATCTATGGTATAACTATAGCTTCTGTAAGGCATGAAAATCCCTTCAGGGAACAAATGAAAATAAAGATTAAGGTGAGGGACACTGAAATTTTCAAGTGATTCACCTTTGATAATTGTGCTGTGTAACTTAGCAGCTTCTCAACATGAAGATCATCAAAACCAAACCTGGATTCAAGTTCTGCTCTCACAGCATGTGGATTCCACAAAACATCCCCAAGAGAAAGATTGTACTGAAAACCTG